TGATAATCAATATATCTAACCGCAACGCAATCGAAATCGAAGGAAACTCTGAGAACAGTGTGGATAAGATACGTACCACGCCAGAGGCACTGTAAGTGGAGATACTGAACTTGTGATCGGAAGTGTAGTCTCTCGTCAACAGATCTAAACACGAAACGGAAACATTAGAATCATCCTAACAAAAACGAATCGAAAACATTCAACGCTATGAATCAAGGAACCAGGAGCAGCTTATTCCCATAAATACACTCAACAATTTCGCGATTTCAACCAAGGAGAGAGCGATGATGTATACCTTTGGCTTTTTTGCCGATATCTGAGAATAGTCCCGGACCTTTGCTCATCGTTGATCGGAGTCGTTAGAGAGATCAGCCAAAAGCTTTGGAGGAGATAGCAACGAACAAATACAGACTTTTTTTCTTTTTTTAAAAAAATCACGAAATGAATCGCAACCGCTAAAAAAGAATGTGGGACCCAGTTATCGATATTCATTTTTGTTTACCTCCGAGCCTCGTATCTATTGGGCCTATATTATTAAATTACGGCCCAAATAAACGGAACCCTATAGTTAAATACGTAACACTCTCTCGAGACAATAATAAACAATGGCGTCGAACAGTATCGTCCGTTTGATCGCACCGAGCAGATCCGTCTCCTCTAGATTCCTCGAGCCTGTATCACGCTTCTTAACCTCCGTTTCTCCTCCTCCGCAGTCTCCATCTCCGGATGAAGATCAGGTTGTGAAGCCAGATGAGAAGCTTCAAGAGAATCTGCCCAAAGAAGAGGAAGATCAAGAAGGTGGAGGTGGAGAGTTTGTTAATGAAGATACCGGTGAGATCGGAGGACCTAGAGGTCCTGAACCGACTCGGTACGGTGATTGGGAACAACGTGGTCGTTGCTCCGACTTCTGAGACGAGTTTTCTATGTACTTTTTCGTCATTTTTATTACAGAGGAAATAAAAATTCACTTTTATAAGTTTATGTAATTTGCAAACAATGGAGAACATAGAAGTAAACTGTTGTAATATGATTCGTTGTGTGCTAATGAATCTTTAATTATTTGAATATATTTGCAAGAAATTAATTTTGGATCATTTCGAAAGAAGTAATTAACTGTTCGTAAGCTTGAATTAGGAACTGTGTTAGAAGATATGAGTAAAGAGTTCTTCATTATATACAAGTACATGTTTGTTTGGAGTAAATTTTCGAATTAGGTATATGATTTGAGTACAATGAATCCAATATAGAAACTGTATAAGATTTTTTTTTGAAACGAGAAATGATCTTCTAGGACGTATCTTGGTAATTCGGGTTTATTCAATAAATAGATAGGAACATGTTACTAGTTTACAACCAGACACGAAAGAGGTTGGTTGGGCAACAATCAATTCAAGTAGACCATAAAAAAGATATCACACGTTCAAAAGATCAATTACATATTTAATGATGCTATCTTCTGGACCACAGACTGAACTCTTTAGTTAACATTTTGAAATTGTCTGGAATCATTTGTAGGATTATGTTTCCCTCACTTGAGGTGGTTTACTAATCTGCACAGCATTGTTTAATTTACATATAATGAAATTGCCATAATCTTGTTTTAACAGAGGAAACAGGATTTCACCAAATACTAAGAATACAGTGGATAAAAATAGGAAGTGAAGTAATCTAAAACGAGAAGAGGGGATGAGAATAGGGATAAAAATCCAAAAATTGAACAGCTAAATATGAGCTGTGAAGCGCCCAAACAAGAAGAAGAAAAAAAGGACAAACTGATCTGTTTTTGTACGGCTCTCAAATCTTAAATAAGAAAATGCAGAGTCGTGTCTGAATTTGATAAAGCGGTAATAAAACCACCACAAGCTTTTCACAAGGACGAAAAAAAAAAAAAAAAAAGAAGCCCGTTTAGGCGCGTGGATTCTTAGCCGTCCGTTTCGTAACCGTAGGTTCCACGCGCCTCTCGGTGATTTTTCCGCAGTTTTGGCGGTGATGAACAAGAAAATATCTTCGTGATAATAATTGACGCAAAGAAAAAAAAAAGTGAGAAACACAAATAAATATCCACAAATTATTTAAATCTTTTCAAAAGTTTTGTCGTGTTCCGTTGTTTGTGAGTGTGGTTGTTTATATAATGAGAAGAGATCTCTGATCTGTTTTGAAAGTAGAGTTTCTTCTCCTGCTGGTTAGAAGAAGAAGGAGAATCTTTTTTATGTTTATCTCATTATTGAGTTAATTTTGATTAACTTGCTCTTAACGTTTCGGTCAGAATCAAGATTCTAGCTAACTCGTTTGAAAGAGGTATGTTCTGTTCTTGTTTGTTTTGTCTATTGTTTCATGGAATCTTGAATATATTTGAAGATTTGTTATAATTCATATAATTTTATTGTGTGAAGTAAAAGCAAAAGTGTTGTATTAAATTATAATCAAAGTTTCAATTGGTTTTGCTTTATATAGGGAAAGGAGAAATGGTGATGGCTTGTGTTGATCTACAAAAATCCATGAAACCTGCAGATTCTTCCTCTGTACCTGTTCCTCCACCTCTTCCTTCAAAATCTAATCTCCACCAGAAAAGATACGGTAATGAGATAGCTCATAGCTGCGGTGTTCCAACAGCCACAAAAGATATGTGGGATCGTCTTTTCAATGATGGATACAAAGCCAATGTTGTTATCTACACTGATAATGGCGGCATCGTATACGCTCATGCCAATATCATTGTAAAATGCTCTCTCCTTCCAATTTGTTGATCGTTTGTTTAATTTTTGATCTCTTTTGACTAAAATCTTTTTTTTTTCTTTCAGGGGACTGCTTCATGTGTGATCAAAGGGATGTTGAAGAAAGCCAAAAAACATGGAAAGTGGTATACAATCTCTATCCGTGGCGTCCCTTATGAAGCTGTCCGAGTTTTTATTCGTTTCCTCTACTCTTCTTGGTACACTTTTACTCTTTGCCTTTTTTTTTTTTTTTTGTCGAGGTCCATTTTGTAAGATCAAATGGTAAACAGACTTGAGCCTTTCCGTAGAAATGCTCTGTTCCGTAGAAATGCTCTGTCCGGTTGGTGGGAAAAGAGAATACCACTATTTCTCGCCTCTTTGGCGACTCTTTACCTCTCTTTAAAATACTCTCTTTAGTGTTTGATTAAACCTAACTTTTTTTTTTTTTTTTGTATAGCTATAAGAATGAAGAAATGAATGAGTATATAATGCATTTGTTGCTTCTCTCTCACGCATACGTGGTTCCTCAGCTGAAAAGGGTTTGTGAATGGCATCTAGAACATGGTTTACTCAACACTGAGAATGTGATCGATGTCTTCCAGCTTGCTCTGTTATGTGATTTCCCTCGTCTTAGTGTCATATCTCACCGTATGATTATGAAACACTTTAAAGAGCTTTACGCGACAGAAGCATGGACAGCTATGAAGAAGAGTCACCCTTTTCTCGAGAAAGAACTTAGAGACTCTGTCTTCATTGAAGAAAATGTAAGTAATTTTGTAAAAGCGTTTTATCTCTCTGCCTCGTTACCTAAATGTCTAAAAACGTTGTAAAACGCAGACGCGGAAAGAGAGGATCAGAAAACGCAACGAGCAGAGGATATACTCGCAGCTGTATGAAGCGATGGAGGCTCTTGTTCATATATGTAGAGACGGGTGTAAAACAATAGGACCACATGATCAAGATTTGAAACCGAGCCATGCTACGTGTCACTACGAAGCTTGCAAAGGGTTAGAATCGCTGATCAGGCATTTCGCGGGATGTAAACTTAGGGTTCCTGGAGGTTGCGTGCCTTGCAAGAGAATGTGGCAGCTTCTTGAGTTGCATTCACGTGTTTGCGCTGATTCTGATCAGTGTCGAGTTCCACTATGCAGGTAAAATATTCAAAATGATTACACTAGAAGTATAATATTTTTGTAGTTTTGGGACTTGTGTGTTGATATTATTGTGTGGATGTTTTGTGTGTGGAAGCAGAAGCTTTAAGGAGAAGATGGAGAAACAGAGCAAGAAGGATGAGGTTAGATGGAAACTTCTGGTGAAGAATGTGTTAGGGTCTAAGAAAATCGGTGGCTCTCCTTTCTTTCTACCTGTGAACAGCTCTTTTTAATCTGTGTATCGTTTTCTCTTGTCCCAAGAAGGCGAGTTTTAAGCGTTTCTTGTGATCTTGAAATGTAACATAATAAATGAAAATGACAGAAACACTTTTGGTCAAATTCTAAGTTGGTTAATGTTCAGATCCGGTTTATGGATGTAGAGCTTGGTTACTCAATTCGGTTTAGTGGATTTGTTGTGTTACTTTTTAAACTACTGGCTTGTTTAGAAAGAAACAAAACAAATCAAGAAAAGAATCTACCAGACCCTACTTGCTTTTGTTATGTTTAATACCTCCAAAAATGGGAAACTGCAATGACAAAAAAGTGATTCAGAACGGGACAAATGCAGTAAGAAAGAGAGAGACGTGTGGTACAAGCTGTACACCAGAATCGGTCTCACTCACATCACATGTTCCTACTTCATTAAATATATGTTGGAAACATCCATTGTCACAAACTCAAGTCCGTGTAAGTGTATGTACATTTCCTTTATCATGTGCTTTCGTATTGGATACTGATTCCTTCTCACCAAGAACACAAAGAAGCAAAAGTAAACACGATTCCAAACCTATCTTATAATTCTTACTTATGTGGTTATAAGACTAGTAACTTTTTGAATTGAACAAAGCTTTTATAAAGTCCAAAATCTCCTCTAATAACCTCAAGAAATTAGGATATATTCATATCTATCTATATATTTCAACGGCCGACAAAAGAAAGAAACTTATTTGTTAACGAAAATTTGATCATTATAGTGTTTGTTCCTCTACTAACCGGTCCAGATTCTCCGGTTTAACCAACTCAATATCTCCTCCGGTTTGAGAATCACCAACTTAATTCTGTGTAAGAAACTGTACAGCCTTTTGTGTTGTTCATCACGTAGAAGAGTTGCTGCTGTGTTCATTATCTGAGCTTGTATCTTCTTGTCTTGATTTATACCTGTGAAGAACCGGTAACGAAGCTGTTGCTGAAATCCTGAACGATCTAGCAGAAGCCGAACCCATCGCTGACGACATTTCCTGCATCGTCTTAACTTCTTTACAAACGTTGTCTAGAACTGCGAGAAAATCTCTCACGACCATGAAGATTCTTAGAGGATGTGCTTCTTCTTTTGCAGCGTCTCCGTGGAAATACTCTGTTACTTCTTTAACCATTGACAGAGCTTTTCTTTCTCCTCCTTTGATCTTTCGAATCTCTTCTTCTGCTTCTTTGAGAAACGTTTTCATTGAATCAAAGAACTTCCCTGGAGTTGTTGTTGTTGTTGTCTCTGTCTTGATAAAAGCTCGGAGTTTCTCAAGACCTGTTTCAAGCTTTGTCACGTAACCACTCAGTACATCTGAATCCATTCCCGCTGATTTTTTAACGTTTGCCAGATCTCTACTCAGTCCAGCCACGACTTGTAATCCTTGCTTTCTGAAACCGTCTTTGTTTCCATGGAGGATGGTTTCATCTATTGTTGTAGTGGTTGTTGCCTCGGATCTTGTGATTTCTTGGACGACAAAGTGAAGCAATGTGGTCTTGCCATCAACTCCTTTTATGTCTACGAGTTTTAAAAGGGTATCGAGTTTGAAAGCTTTGGCTTCTCCACGATTAGTGCCAACGTTCATTCGGTTTCCTGTCATTAGAACAGCTTCAAGGAGCTTAAGGAATAGCCTGCTTGCTTTTAGTTCCACGCTTGCTTCCTACAAAGCAACCAATGGATTAGGAAAATTAAGACAAATTCGTCTGAAAGGTTGAATCATTACGTGTCTTTAAAGAGTTGACTAACTAACCTCTAGTGTCTGGAAGGAGTTCCTTAGATACTTGACTTCTGCATCAAAGTTGGCTCTATACAACATTGCTTCAACCCTTTTGAATGCAAACGGGATATCCAGAATGGTTTTAAGGAATCTTTCAGCTGTTCCTAGTTTCGAGACATCACCAGAGTACTCTCGGAGTTTTATCTCTTCTTCCTTTGTTGGAGCCATCTTCACCAAAGTCTCTAGAAGCTCTGCACCTAAGCTCTCGGGGTTACCTGTTACCGTGCCACAAGTTTAATTAAAAATAATAGAGACCAAATGTTTTCGAGTCTTAATGTATATCAAGTGAATTAGCTCTACATCATGTTTGCTGCTCCTGTAAAATTAAAGGATTATTTTTTTTTCATAAGTTGCGCAATCATGTTAAAAGCGATATAAAGCAGCGAAAATCATTTCATATCTCATTGTTCTTTGCAATGATTATAGCTTGTGGCCTAAGCCTTTTTAGTATTATCTATCATTTTACTACCAATACCTCTAAATTACTATTCCTACTAAAACAAAGATCTACATTAGCCCATCAACGCCCAATACTCAAAAGGTAAACAGCTTACTAACTTATAACGATCAAGTCAAACGCCAAACGCTACTAGGTGCAAATGGAACTTAACCCTAAGAAATGAAACAAATGGGAGACAAGAACTTACCATCTAAAAGAGCTTCTGACACTTCCTCACGCGTTACATTCAGTGCTCTTAACAGAATTGCTATGTTCTGGGATTTCTTAGGATCAAGCACTCTGTTCTCATTCTCAGCTGGAGGCATCACTGACTTTCTCACAGGCTCCTTGGGAGCTGAACTTACTGAACTGCAACCAAACAAATGCTCCATCCTGTCTTCGTTCACTCTGTTTAGTACATACAACAAAGATACAAATCGTTAATGAAACTGGCTATAATTCAAACGTGTGTTTAACAATAATGCCGAAAACAGTTAAACTCACTGGAATGAGCTTGATTTGAGCTGGTCCCAAACTGTGGCTCGATCAGAGCTAGCGCGTACTTTATCCCAATGAAGTGGCTTTAACTTTGGCCTACTTGGATCCGTATCCCCCTCTGCTGATACACTTTTGACCTCTTCAAGAGCTTTTGATTGAGGACTTGGAGTCTTGAACGCTAGCTTTCTTGTAAGATCATCTTCCTTCGTTGCTTCTGAACTGCTAACTTTCCGAGTTATCTGAAAATCTCTTGGCCGTATCTGAGGAGGCAGAGGAGGAGGACGTGGAGGAGGCGGTGGAGGCGGAGGCGGAGTATGGAGTGGAGGAGGAGGAGGAGGAGACCTCCGTGGTGACTTATCCTGAGTAATCGCCTGAAACGCCGCCCTATTCGGCGGAGGAGGAGGCTGAGAGAACTTAGGTTTATTCTGTGAATACTCAATCTCAAATTCTTCACCCTCCAACCCCCTAAACGGTGGAGATTGCACCGGCGGCGGCGGTTTCTGCTTAATCGACGGAATGATAACGTGCTTCATCTCCGGCGACCTAGATCCTCCCGATGTACCGAACTTCGACTTCGGAGAAGTCCTCTTCGAGTGGGGAACCGATCCAGAGGAATGGCCGTTACTGTTAACCGACCTAGGAAACGCCGTGTAGTAACCGTCGTCGCTGCTGATAGCAGATCCGTGGGGAGTGTAAAACGCCGCGTTTCGGCATTCTTCATCGGATGATGATGATGATGACGTGGAAAGAGAGTTCTGAGACGGTTTGGTTAACGGTGGAAGCGGTTGGAGCTCGGGACTGGGACGGTACCGATCAGATCTTTTATTATTATTAGAATTAGAATTTAATTTCCGGTACGGAGATGAATTAACCGGTTCATTAAAGTCGTTAGCCGGTTCGCGATTCGGTTCTACGGTTCCCATATAGAGAAATGTAGAAGACGTCGTCGTCGTCGGTGGTAACGGATCTTCGTGGAATCTTCTCGAACCGCCTCCATCGCCTCCTCTAGTGACGAGTTTCTGAGTGTCGCTTGCGTGTTTGGCTTTGTGGCGATAGAGGAAGAAAGCTAGAGCTGAGAGCATACCGAGCGTGACGAGTCCGACGGATACGACGATCGCGACTTTCGTCGCAGGCTTCGCGTGTTGAGTAGTGGCCGTTGGAATCGGTAGTCCGCCATTGACGTCGGCGGAAGCTGGAGGAGGCGGAGGAGGTAACTGATTTTGATCGGGAGGAGAGGGATTCTCCGGGAAGAATGGCTGATCGGGAGCGTCGGGAGGAGACTGGAGCTCTTGAGGAGGAGGCGGAGGAGGAGAATCAGGGAAAAGCGGCTGATGGAGGATTCTTCGATGGTTAACTTCGCCGAGGGAGAGAGATGATGAAGATAGAGATGAGAAGAGAAGGAAGAAGAAGAAGAATCTCATGGTGAATTTTGATTAACTGTTTTACAATCCTTCTCTCTCTCTAAGCTCATCTTCTTCCTTCTTCTTCCTGCTTATTTTTTTTTGTTGGAAGCTTAATAAGAAAAGGTTTAATGGAAAAGAAAAGAAAAGAAAAGAAAATTAAAAAAAGGGAAAGTAAGAGAAGAGCAGAGGAGAGGAAGCGAAAGTTCGTTTCGTTTCAAGATCTGAGATTTAACATGCTGACGTCAGCATTCCGGGATCGTTTAATCTGCTTTTTTACCTCGTTTAAATTTCCGTTAATTAGTAGTTAACTATCCCTAATTAAAAACAAAAAAACTAGTCGCGTTATTCATGCGCGGCAAACATATGTTAAAACCAGATTAATAAATAGATTCGATTAAATTACTAGTCAATTTGGAGGAAAAAGACATAAAAATGAAGAATTGGCAGCCTCACATTTCAAATCCAGCGTCTAGGGATATTATTGACTACTAATCATAATAAAATTTTCAACCTTGTAATTAAAATGTGAATGGACTTTCGTCGTCATGTTGTGCGTTACATTAGATTTCGTTTTTTTTGTAATACGACACAGCATATTATATATGGAAGTCCGCGCCACGTGAGATTCAACAACCGGTGAAAGACGAAATTATCCTTATATCAGGAGAATTAATTAATTTAACGGAGAATGTGACTGTCCTTTTCCGTCCGACGCAGAAATTTCCGATTCTGCTTCGTTTGAGACGGAGGAAAAAGACACGTACGTACCATTCCACCATCAACTTTTCGATTTTATTCCATCTTATAATATAACTAATTAAATATACAAATTACAGTTACAAACAATTAAAACTTATGTTACTGAATAATAATAACAGTAGCTAAAAGCCAATCCACTGTGGTCCATCGTCGATGAGAATATATATGGGCCAACATTTGCAATTTGTATTGCTTGAGAATTTAAAATGGAGTTTCCAAAAATAAACAAGAGTTATTTAACTATTCTTACAACGAATTTCACAGACAAGGGACATGTTTTTTATACGTGAAATGGTTGATACGTATAAGTCAAGTTTATGATGAGTGAGTCTATATTAAAAAACAAAAAAAAAACAAGATGTGTTATAGAAAAGGAAAAAAAAGAAGACCCATACAATGTAATCTTGGAATAAAGTGACACAACGGGCTCAACGTTACATCTCTATCCCCTTTTTTTTCCTTTTTTCTTTGCTTTTATTCTTTCAATTTTCGTTTCTTTCGTCTTTTTTGGGTAAAAGAAAAGTAATGGTTTATAGATCCACCGACTCTCAGGCTATTGTATATGTTTATTAGTGGCAATTGACAAGTGTAGAACCAAGGGAAGGGTCAAGCACACGCTCTCTCTAGCGTTTTGCTTTCTCCACTCTCTTTTCATCTAGCTTTCTCATTGTCTTACATCTTTATACCTTTTTCACTCTCATTTGCTATAATTTACAAGCGTACGTTAGTGACAATACAGGCCAGAGGCTAAGTCCTTAACTATTATCTAAAGTGATTGTATAGATTGTATTGTTAGCTCTTTTGAGCATACTTCTAAACTTCTGGCAGCCTTGCGTGAGAATTGGCTTCATATATTGTCAATAAATAGAAACAAATATTCCTCTTGGCCCCAAAAACAATTTCAGAGACAATAAAGGTTTTCTTCTATTCCACGTAACATAAACTCTACCAAACACTTAAGAATTAAGATAAATAATATTCGGCAACACTTTTGTAATCATTTTTCTATCATTATTGTCACTATTTGATATTTCTATTCATACATCATATGCAATAGTACATTCTTAGGTTTATACACTAACTAATAGAAAAAGTTTCAATTACGTATAACCGGTGGCGGCCCTAACGGGAAGCTATGGAAGCATTAGCTTCTCGCCCTCAAATTTTACTAATAAATTTCGGCCTTTTGTTTAGTAGACTGTCCTTAGTGTAGTGATTTATATATTACTAGTAATGTTAAGAGTTCTTAGGTTCGATTCTTAATTTGGCCATTTTATTTTATTTTGCTTCTGGCCATTTAAAACTCAGGACCGGTACTGCATATAACGTTGCATTTAAATGACTAAATTAGTGCAAGATATATATTTTGCAAAGGTTTTACCAACGAAAATACTTTCAAGTCGAGTTTTATATATTTTTAACTTTTAATTCTTGATATAGCTAGGAGATATTAATGTTGTACTTCATAAACTACTGGAAGCATGAAATTAACTAATGATACCGACAGACTCGAGAAGATCATGGGTCGAATGGCCCAATGCTTGGATTTTAAAGTTGGTGTCGTTTACTTATTTGTTAGCTTTCTTAAATTAACTGGTTAAATATTAGTTATTGGGGGTAATCATGATAAAGCTACTAGACAAATCCCTTCATAGTGTTGTTGTCATAATGATTGTGACAGGATCATGCAAAACGTTCAAAGCAATTTTGGAATCCCACACCACTTCACTCAATTATACAAGTCTAACCACAGCCTTTCTAATAAAATAAGTCCAGATGAAATCAGATTCGAATATTAAGCTTTCCTCTTTAACTTTAACAGAAACAAAAAATAATTAAATCTTGGTTTAAAGAAGAACCAATGGTTTAGCCCAATGTACTGGGTTGTATTTCAGGGCCTAAATAAAGCCCATTTGTGGACTCTTCTACACTTAGTGGTTGATCTAAATAGAGTTAACAGGTGAGGTGTTAGCTTTAAGCCCAATAAATATTCTGTGCACTTTTCATTGTTAATAGGCTTTGTTTTTACGTAAGAAGAAAAAAATATCAGAGCCAGGTTTCGATCCTGGGACCTGTGGGTTATGGGCCCACCACGCTTCCGCTGCGCCACTCTGATCTTTTGACTGAGTATTTCTTGTTAAAATACTTTTTCAAATAACTCTATTAAACTCAAACTTGTTCGCTTATTAATTTGATGGGCTTTTGTTGTCTCATGTACCAATGAAATTTCTCTTCTGAATTTGTTAACTTTTGTGAATATTCATATTTCATAAGACTGTTTCTATGTAGACTGTGTCGGCATTAAGTAGAAAATTTCCCATTATTCTTCAGCTAAAACGACAGCTTCCTTTTAGGTTCGTTGAAGTGTTTTGGCAGTTGAATTGACCAAAAACTCTCATGAGAGCAGCGACGACCCACTTCATAATGCAACAATACGAAGACTAAGACCCAGCACTCCATTTTCTTTATATCCTCGTCAACGAAGCCCAATTGTTATGTCTTAACACATTATTTAAATTTCATTTCCTATTTTGATTCTTTGTTTAACGCATCGTTGTATTGGTTTTAAGTTGGTGACTACCGACTAGTGGGCAAGTTTCACACACATACACACACAAACACAATTATGGATAACCAAACAAAAGAAAAAAAAACGTAATATACATATGCACGCAACCCTTGAGAAAATCGAGTATGTCATTTTCATTTGTGAAAAAATATAATAACATTAGAAAAAACTTTAAGCTTTCTAAATAACCAAGTGAAGTTTTGGATCAATTAAACAGAGATAGTGTGTTGCAACGACTAGTCACCGTCAAGTATAGCCTGAGTCTTGAGTCTCGTACCGACTTTAACTATCTGCCGAAAAGTCTCACCATTCTAATTACGCCACGTGGCCCACCAGCAAAAAATCTAACCTTCTTTAGCCAATGCAAGAGCGCCAGATAAGCATTGGCCCAGTGCCACCACATATCACAAAACGGAAAGAGATATTAATACTCCATAGTGACAAAAGCTTCTTCTTCTTTTTCAATTTTAAAACTTTTAAATACAACTCCGAAGATATGGCACTCCATTTAAAGAACAACTGTCTTCCTAATCTTAATTATAGTTTTTTACATTCCTAATCCTAGTGTTCGGGTGGCTACCGCGAAAAGTGTGAGAACCAACTTGAAAGTCGTAACATCTTCTTTGTTATACAGTATTAAACAAAAAAAACTTTGAATATTTCCCAACCAATTGGTGAAAAACTTGGTCTTATACGTATGCAAAATTAAAGGGATGATGTCTGCATATCATATAGTTGAGAGGATACTAATGATAATGCAAGTGGACTATAATTTTTAGAAAAGTTGAGAATCATAGAAAGTAAATTATAACAAACTATATGACTGTTGAAAGTTTCTAGCTATGAGTAGCTTGGTATACAAGATATTTTACTATTATTCTATGAGATTTCTCAATAACTTTGGCAATTTCTAGCTATAAAACAATACATTGACTTGGTAAATGAAAAAATGCTTATAATATTCCAAAATTAATGACAACATAATACACATAAAATAAAGGAGTTTAATGGATAGAAGAAAGCAAGAGTAGCACCACTTGATCACTCATAGCCCACGTTCCCACTCTCAACCCCAATTCTCAAAAGATCCCTTGAGAAAAATATATATTACTATAAATCAAACCAACTCCCAAAACACAAACCAACACAACACACAAAGACGTGCTCACAATACATCACACACTTCACTCTTCCTTCACATCTCAAAAACATTTTATAAAATGGCTCTCGAGACGCTCAATTCTCCGACTTCAGCCACCGCCACAGCTACTAAGCCTCTTCTCCGGTATCGTGAAGAAATGGAGCCGGAGAATCTTGAGCAATGGGCTAAAAGAAAACGCACAAAACGACAACGTCTTGATCAGACTCATCACAATCAAGAAACCACTCCTTCTGAAGAAGAGTATCTCGCTCTTTGCCTCCTCATGCTCGCTCGTGGAACCACCACCACCGTAAAACCTCCTCATACTCCACCTCCGCCGTCACGTCGGCCGTCTTCCGATCACCGTGATTTCAAGTGTACGGTGTGTGGAAAGTCTTTTTCCTCTTACCAAGCCTTAGGTGGACACAAGACGAGTCACCGGAAACCTCTGGTGAATAACGTCAACGCTCCTAGTAACCAAGAGCCATCTAATAATAACAACAGTCACGGTAACGGTGTCTCCCTTGTTATTAGCGTTAACGTTACCGCTAGTAACGGTGTTAGTCAAAGCGGGAAGACTCATACTTGTTCGATATGTTTCAAGTCGTTTTCGTCGGGACAAGCCTTAGGTGGACACAAACGTTGTCACTATGACGGTGGTAATAATAACAGTAACAGCGTAGAAGTCATCGGTGGTGGTAGTGACGTCAGCGACGTGGATGATGGAAGATCATCGGAGCAGAGCATGATCGACGGCCACCGTGGATTTGACTTGAATTTACCGGCTGATCAAGTTTCGGTAACGTTGACTCAGTAGAGATTAAAGTCAACTTTCAATACGAGAATGTGATTGGTCGATGGTGAAGATGTAACAGTCGTTTCTTACCAGTTGCTTCAGCTTGACTGAGTCTGTAATGAAAATGATTGGAGTGGACTTGCGCAATTACTATTGCATTATTATTATTATTTTTTTTTAAGAAAGAAATGTTTATTTGTTGTTGGATTTGTTTATAGATAGAGGAAACAATTGGGATATTGAGATATTTTCCTATAAGAAATTAATACAGAGATGGATGATTGGATCGTACACGTTATTATTTAGTGGAACGGTCTGTAATGCTTAAATTCTTATTTATTATTTACAAGTAAATTATTTTTCGTAATCTATACTTCATTTGCTTCCGCAAGCAATGGAAAGCCACTTAAATTCTGTTACTCACAGCTCCTACTGACCTGTTCATTCACATTTATTTTATTATTAGTCAATAAATACCTGTCAGTATTACTATATGATTTGTAACGTTTCACATCAAGGATTAGCCTGGATATATTTAAAGATTTGTAACAGTTTCTGACTTTATTTTGGTTTATCCAAAATGTAATGTCCTCGCGTATTAAAGTTTGGTAGCGATAATCCTAATTTATGATAAGTAGATAAATGTTTATTTCAAAACCAAACCACATTTAATCTAATTTGTTAAGATTGTACTAACTCAGCATTCAGATGTAAGCCCATTAAGTTATATAAACTCGAAACCAGCCTGCTTAATAGGCCCATGTGATTATTTATTGGAACTTTTGTTAAGTGGCCCACTATTGAGAAGGAGAATGTTTATTCCGATACTACTATGTCACTCGACAAGATGTTTATTTTTTCTTCTTTTTTTTTGCTAAAACACTCGACCATATGTTTTGATCGAGACAGTAACGGCCCCGAAGGAATGCCATTGAAGCATGTGCTTCTGGTCATGTTTACAATATAAAAACTTTCGACCTCATTTTACAAATCTATTCTATCTCAGTCGGCAATCACTATAAATATAGACATAAGACATGTGAAGGGTCGATGCTCTTTAAGTCCTTTATCTTCCTTAAGATGTCTAAAAAATCTGTATTTGTGTTTGCAAAATGATCCTATTTTAACATATTATTCTTCTCAATCAGCTACGTTATCTCTATCGTTATTAGTTACATGTCGTTATTCCAAGTGGCAAAAATCAAATTTGAGAGATAAAAAAATTACGTACTAACTTGATATTATTATTAGTATTTTTATTATTATGCATCCGAGATATGACGTTGAAAAGCAGATGTGATATCCACCACTGTTCAGTTTAAAAAGTGCATTGACCAAAACCATTGGAAGTAATCATCAGCGCTCCCATAACCGACCAAACTCTTAACGATGCCTTATCTTTCTCCATAATCATGTGACCCTCATTTTCATATGCTCTCTCTTTTTTTTTGGTAATTAATGTGCTCTCCTTTTATTCGAGTGTAACTAATACTATGTTTTCTGTAAAAAAACTAAGTTCTTCATGTAGTAGTTTTTTTTTTTTTTGAAACACTTCATGTAGTAGTATTTACATCAAAAACATCTACGAGAGCTAGTCGAGAATGTAATGATGTAAAAAAAAAAGAACATAGTGACTTGACACCACAAATTATAAGCAAAACAAATACACTTTACCTTTTACCGTCGCATTATAAATATCTACATTTTAATCGGATGCGCCCTAGGGCGATGTTTTACAAGCGCATGTTAAAATATTATATAGTATACTAATGTTTTTTGCCACAAACATATTATTTAAATCGACATTGGATCCTTTTGAACTTCAGTGTTGGGGTCTGTTGAAGGAATTAAAAAGGCAGAGGAAAGATAAAGAGAAGCAGGTTTGATCTTGATATATTAGTTTTTACGTTGTTACTTGGTATTTACTGGTATAGTAGATAATATATAATTCTGAATGTTAAATATAATATGTGAGCATATATATTATCACAATAAAAAGGAATGTTGCGTGCAGTCCCCTTTCGTCCACGGCTTTAGAGGGGTTCACTTATTTTTCTCGGTCTATCATTTCTTACTAAGAAATCGTATGCTTTAGCCCTTTTTGTTTACCTCTTTGAAGCTAGTAGAATAGTTGGTTATTATGTTTCTACTTGTCAAAAATAATATAAAATAAAAACGAAAATAATTTGTTACACATTTATAAGACTGAATCTTTACTCACAAATTGCAAAGAAAATATTTATGAATTATATTCGGTTCAAACATTATTTGCAAGTCAGAAATCGGATACTGATAAAAGGAAACAGAGCACAGTTTTACTTTGTCAGAGTTAGCGTGAGTGAGTATATATTTATAATAAATACACACATTAAAAATCGTAGCTACTTCCTATTACTAAAACGCTTTTAAAGTTAAACCACTGATTCGAACTTTTATCCACTAGAGAAAAAAAGAAGGTAACAACACATCGCTGAGTTCGATTGAAAACAGTGAGATAAATCCTGGGTTAAACTATAAGCAAAGAGCTTTTCTTAAAAATAAAATCAGATTATAAAAATAAAATTTTCTTTTTAAGGCTGAGTGGTGGAGACGGTGGTGCTGATTCAGAGAGTAGGACATTGGGGACAGAACATTCTGAGGGTTTCAGATTTGCACTAAGTAAGAAGAAATAAGAAAACAGCTCATCTTCTTTTGACTCTCTCTGTTTGTTTACTTCTTTTGTTGGATTGCTGTTTTGTGTTTTGTCGGATTTTCCATTTTTGGAGTACAGTTCTCTGACTATAAACAAGCAGCAATTTAGCCTACACTTGTTTTCCAATAAGCTTTGTTTTTTTGTCTCTCCATAATTTCATATAATTGATCCTAAAGAAGGTTTCTATCTCCATCAAAGGTATGAGTCTTCGTTTATTGTTATTCATTATTTGAAAATTTTGTTACTAAATAGAAATAAAAATCTCAAAAACTAGGGCTTGGGAGACTCCTGCTGATATCTACACATGTTCAAGTTCTTAGTCTGTAGATTTGAAATTTGAACCACATGTTTTGGTATCTAAAGTTAGTTTATGTTCTAATTTTGGGTCCATCTAATTTTTTTAATCAGATAAATCATAGGTTTTGGATAATTGGTATTATGAACTCACCAACATAACATAATCTTTCTTTTCTTTTGACTTCTTTAGCAACTCTATGCATCGATCTCCATTGTTTTGGTTTTAAAATGCTTTTGTTCCTCGACACTAACCAAGAAAACTGCTTTATTCTTAAATCTGATTATTCGCACTTTTTCCTAGGGTTTTGTTTCTTCTTCCTTTGATGCTTTCTGAACCTGATAAAAGATTCGGTAGGAAAACAGAACAGAGACTTTGGTACTAAAGAAACATGCAACGAGTTGAATTTATAAGCAAGTGGAGCAAATAATTTTTTTTTTTTTGCTCTTTTATATATGTTTTTCTTTTAATCTCTTAAAAGTTACCAACTAATCAAGCAAAATAGATTTATCTCTCTTTCAGTTCAAGTCTTAAGGCTGTTTTATACAGTTTCACAGCTTATGCTTCAACAACACTCTTCCATGTTTTATACTTTTGCATCCAATAAGGATCTAAGATTTTTTTTTTTTTTTGAAGTCTTAATGCTCTTGTGATAACTACAACTATTCAGAAACCTCTTTCTTGTTTTTTATAAAGGAGAAATGAAGTTTATGAAACTTGGAACCAAACCAGATTCATTTCAGTCCGATGAAGATTGCATAAGGTAAAAAAAAAATGTCTTCAATATTTGAGTATTTCTTTCATATGAATCTTAACTTTTCTTCCTGCTTACAGGTATGTAGCATCGGATTTATCGACCGATGTAGTTATAAACGTTGGAGATGTGAGATTCTATCTTCATAAGGTACATTCAAGAAACCAACACATTGTGTCTTTTATCAACCACTACTGATATTATATAATGAAAACATATTTTTGTGTTTATGTTTTAAAAACAGTTTCCTCTTCTCTCTAAAAGCGCTCGTCTTCAGAAACTAATAGCTGCAACCATAGACGAAGAAATAAACATTCCTGATATTCCAGGAGGTCCTCCAGCTTTTGAGTTATGCGCCAAGTTCTGTTACGGAATGATTGTGACACTCAACGGTTACAATGTTGTAGCTGCTCGTTGCGCTGCTGAGTATCTCGAGATGTATGAATCTGTTGAGAGCGGGAACCTTGTTTACAAGATTGAGGTGTTCTTGAACTCGAGTGTTTTAAGAAGCTGGAAAGACTCCATCATTGTTCTCGAGACGACAAGAACGTTTCATCCCTGGTCTGAAGATGTGAAGATTGATGTAAGATGTTTGGAATCTATTGCTTTGAAAGCTGCAATGGATCCAGAGAGAGTAGATTGGTCTTATACATATAGAAAGTTAAACAACAATGGAGTGCCTAGAGATTGGTGGGTGGAGGATCTTTCAGAGCTTAGCATTGATCTATACAAAAGAGTTATTTCGACTATCAGAAGAAAAGGCGCGGTTTCACCTCAGGTCAGTGGCGGATCTAGAAATATTTTTTATCCGGGGCAAAAACTAAAAAACACTATTAATACATATATAAATTTAAATTTTCAGTAGAGGCATTGTAAAATAATTGTACAAAATTACACTAACTTAAAAAAAAAAAAAACTTATGGTGGGCAACTGCACTCACTAAGTAGCTTTGCCTCTGCCTCAGGTTATAGGAGAAGCTCTTGAGGTATATGCTTCCAGGAGAATACAACCAGATGATGATTATGATGTGGATGAAGAGAGGTTTTTGTTGGAGTCATTGATCTCATTGTTGCCTAGTGAGAAACATAGTGTTTCTTGTGGGTTTTTGATCAAGCTGTTGAAATCATCTGTTTCTCTGGAGTGTGGAGAAGACGTGAGGAAAAAGTTAAGTAGGAGAATAGGAGAGAAGCTAGAGGAAGCAAATGTGGATGATCTCTTGATCAGAGCTTCTTCAGAAGGATGTGAAATAGTCTATGACATTGTTGAGACTTTACTTGATGAGTTTATTACACAAACAGAGAAAAAAGATGAGCTTGATTGTTCAGACATGTCTGTCTCGGACAGCTCGAAAGCAGTTGTTGCCAAGTTGATAGATGGATACTTGGCTGAGATCTCGAGAATTGAACCGAATCTCTCTCCTTTGAGGTTCATTGCAATAGCAGAAAAGGTTTCTTGTTTCCCAAGATCGTCACATGATGGAGTTTATCGTGCCATTGACATGTTCTTGAAGGTAACTTCTCCTCTCCCTAGCTTTTGTGTCACTTGAAACTCAATATGTATCTTAGATACATCTAATAGGATGTGCAAGTGTAGCGGTCTAGGTTCAAATTTAAAATAAATTTTATATAAATATATAGTCTAAAAAAAATGAATTTGTATATATGCTAATAAACTTTAAACTTTTATATATGCTAATAATATCTATATGGTTTTACAGCAACATCCAGGTATAACAAAGAGCGAGAAGAAAACGATGTGTCGATTAATGGATTGCCGGAAACTATCACAGGAGGCATGTGCTCACGCCGTGCAAAACGAGCGGTTACCTTTACGTGTAGTTGTGCAAATACTCTTCCTCGAGCAGGTTCGAGCTTCAGCGAAACCTTTGCTTCCAGCGAGCGGATCTCACGGGAGCTCGAGGACGACTACGGAAGAAGAGTGCGACTCGGTAATAGCCACGGAAGAGACGACGAGAGACAAGACAAGTAGTTCTGAGAAGACTAAAGCTAAAGGAGTTGTTATGTCCAGGATTTTCTCTAAGCTTTGGAATGGTAAAGACAGAGATGGTGTCGGAGATGTTAGCAGCTCAGATACTTCGGAAAGTCCTGGCTCAGCCACCACCGTCGATGATAAATTCATACCTTCGACTCGCCGGAGAAGATCATCCTCTTGACATTAGAGTATTTTTTGGTTCTAAATTAGGGTTCTCTTTTTAAGCTAACTTGCTTTAGATCCAAGTTTTGTTTTTGGTCATTATATGAGTATAACCCAAAGTTTTTGGTAACCGTTTACAATTTTTAGAAATCCAAATTCTAATGTTTCATTATTCACTTTATTTGGAATAAAAATGGTAAACAAGAACGTAGAAAACTACAAGAATGTTAAATGGTGCATTTTCAATAACCTTCTCATCATCTACTGACTACTGATAAGCTTCTTCAGGCTCCATATCTTTCTTTGATTTTTAGCTTATTTATTTCTCACATGAATTATAATTTCACAAGTGGTCTACCAACTTTTTCTAGTCTCTTAAAATAACTAGTGGGTATTGGCGTATTGCAGATTGTTTTTTAAATCTTAACATTCAAAACGTAGAAAAAACTTCAGTATCTATTGATCGAACCTGTTCTTTCTTTGTTAATAACAATGCTCTAACAACTTGCGAGAAAATCATCTATTTTATGAACTAAAATGGCTTTAGCCTGCCAAATTTGACCAGAGAAAATTATAAAGAAAAGTGGGTTAGTCTTCCATGAGCTTCTTTGTTCTACGTCATCCCGTTTATATTTATATATACTTTCAAAAGTTTACGTTTGTTCCATTTTGTTTGTTTATTTGCTTTTTATTATCTATTTAGTTTTGGATTCATCAACTTTCTCCATTTGAATAATGTTCGATCTACGTAACCAAAAAACTGTAGACTTTGGTTTTGACTTCCTTTCCTATGGGAATATGAAATCACATTTTACAAGTGGAGACTATTCAAATATGATCGATTATCTTACCTTTCATAACTGATTTTTTGAATGAAGAATACATATAAAATTACAATTTGTCTATGTTCTTGACTTAGTCAGTGAAATCACTTAACTCTCCGCTAACAAATCTAAGCATGATCATACCTAGCTATAACTATCTACTCTTTTATAAACATAGATAATAACGTATATATGAATTAAGTAACACAAAAACATTGTTTCACTCACATGCATGTTTTACTAGCTTGTGCTTATAAACCAGTTTATTTACACTTGATCGAGTATAAAAATACAGATAAACCTAAAAAAAAACTTAAGGAGAGTAATCGAGTATAAATAATAACACTGAGATTTAATCTTTTTGTAATTTTGATTCTTGTGTGTTTGGTGTTTCAGATTCCTCTAAAGATATTATAAACAAATCATTATATCTCTCTAGGGTCAACGAAAACAGACAATCCAGGCGTTGACTTAGTCCAGTCTTCACAGTCATCATCATCCTTGAGACGTTTCAAACACCACAAATCCTCCGGCGAGAGAGCCTTCCAATGAGGGATACCATCTCTAAGCGGCTCACAGCTCCCCACTTCAGCTGCCACGACGGTGCAACCGCTCTTTTTAGCCATGTTATGAGCGTGCGAACAAAGCGCCTCCACCATCTCCGCCGCACGTGGCCCTTCTCCGCCGATACCGTACAAGAAATGCATGGCGAACGGTTTAAAAAGATTAGGAAACGAAGGGATCTTCAAAAACGGAAACGCTGCGTCTAAAACGCGCGTCGTCTTCGCTAACGTGCGTTTGAGACGCGACGTTCCTTGTACTTGAAGCTTGTACACTTCTTTACTGTTCCAGACACTTATAACCGCCCATGACGCGGGTAGAGACCCGGGAACGTAGTCACTGCCACGTGGCACGGCGAGAAAAGTACCTAAGGAGAGTTTGTTGTTGAGGATTGAGTTGATGTCTGAAGGGAAAAACTCTGTTGAGGAAAAACGGTTGCGGTAGAGTGACTCGGCGTCTGAGGGGTCGAGTTTGATGATTTTGACTCGGCGTGAGACTGTGACTCGGTGTTTGAAGACAGGGTTGACCAGGAAAGTAGGTGTTCGGTACTTTGAGTAACCGCTTTTCTCGGTGAAGAGTTTGACCGAAGCTGCGTTGTCGTTTTCCGTTTGCACGTATGCGTATGCGGCGTCGTTTAGTCGAAACCAATCTTCGAGTCTTTGCACCAGCTTCAATCCTATTCCCATCCTCCTATAATATTTTAAATTTAATTAGTTTTCAGTTTTTTTTTAATAATTCCAACAAATAATCTTTAACTTCTTTTTCAGTTAGGCGTTATGTATCATCAAAATATTATTATTTAACTAGTAAGCATCGTATGGTTTTGTTTATGTAGAAATGATTGTAACAAATTTGTAATTTAGGGATGCATTGTTATAATTAATGAATTAATTAAAGAAAACGAACCTGTAGTATGGAGAGACTCGGAGGCCGGAGACGAAGGCGAGTTTGGTGGTGCTTATAACCGGTGAAGTGCCATCGTGTAATGCATTTCCACCACGTGTCACCGTCTTGATCGTTCCTCTGATCATCCCAACTATCTCATTATCGATCTCAGCCACCTGTCACATGCATTGCCCATATTAAAACGAGAGAGAATAATCAAAATCCATTGAACGTTAACGTGTGTATATTATTGTGTAAACGTACCAGCATGTAGAAAGAAGGAGACTGACGGATCCGGGCAAGCGGGTCACCCATGAGATCAACTAATAAAGACCCGACTTCACAGCTTTTCTCAAGCTCTTCCACTCTTGTTAAGTCGCTGTTTGGATCATAATCTCTCACCACAACTACTTGAAAACCTTTACCCATGATTTAAAATCAACTAATCAGCTAATAAAACGCTTTTTTTGGTATTATAAAAGCGTACGGAAGCCTAACAAAACTTTTCTTCTTGCAAATATTTTTCAGATTTGCTTCTTTCACAAAGTGGGTATTGTCATTAGTCTATTTATAGTTAGGATTTAGGTTTGTTCTCCTAGTTAATTAGTATATGATTAGAGTTTTATTTTATTATCACTATCTCTTTCTCTCTATTTTTATAATGTCTATGTTGTAGTTAGTGCTCTTTCTTTGGAACTCTGTCGATTCTTCCTAATTTTACAAATTCGCATATCTAGTTATATTTTATGTTTGATGATCCGGTTATGATTCGTGTATAGCAATATTTTCCGAGAATATCACGGCTTATATGTTAATTCCGTTTTAAAAGTATATAGATATGGACGGATACATGAAAAATTAATAAGTAAACCCACGATTCTAACTTCTATCATATTTTATAGTTCTTCCAATTACATGGCACTGCGACTCCAACGTTACATACTTAATATTAGGTCCCAACTTGAAATTAAATAAAACAAGACTAATTTCTATATATATTGGTAGATCAAATTATGCTTTTCATGACATCTATAAAATTATAAATGTTACATCCCATACTAGGGGTGGGCGTTCGGGTACCCGTTCGGGTTCGGGTCGGATATTTCGAGTTTTCGGGTATTTCGGTATTGGGGTTTAGGACCCGTTCGGGTATTTTTACATATCGGGTCGGGTTCGGATATTTTTAGTTCGGGTTCGGTTATTTCGGGTCGGGTTCGGATATTTAGATTTTGAAAAAAAAAATCAAATTCTTCATTACTTAAGTTTCATGTATTTAAAAATTTAACTATCAACTTAACTTTTTTTTAAATGTTTAATAAGTTGGACGATTAATAAGTTTGAAAACAAATTATTGAAAATAAAAATCATTATTTTGGTTGCTATTTTCGAATTTTGGATGCAAATTTTGTTAAAATATGAAATAAGAATCTTAATATGCATTTTAAATGAGTAACAAATCAATTTTTTTTACAATTATATGTATATTATCTGATCTTAAACTATATATAACATTAATATAGATATTTTTAATAAAATGAGACAAATAAACTAGGAATAAATAGGTATATATATATATATATATATATATATATATATATATGTTCGGTTATCTTCGGATACCCGTTCGGGTTCGGGTATTATCCGTTCGGGTTCGGGTATTATCCGTTCGGGTTCGGATATCCAAACTCTCCTAACTCAATATCCATTCGGATATTTTGCTACTTCGGTTCGGATTTCGGTTCAAATATTTCGGGTCGGGTTCGGGTACGAGTTCGGGTATCGGGTAAAGTGCCCACCCCTATCCCATACTTTAAAATAATATAAAGGTCTTCACTCTATATATGCTCGTCATCTCATTAACCTAAAAACTATAGATGTGTAGTCTTTTTTTTTTTGTTAATTGATTTGTGGGCATCTCATGCCAAAATCCTTGCTAAATTTACGATGTCTATACAAATTCGAGGTTTCTTTGCATGTGTTTATAGGTGATCATCCATAGCTGAAATCTAAAGTATGAGATTCAACTCCTAACTTAGACCTACAAAACATATTCTAACAACTAATATATGACGACTAATTATTCTTTTATGAATGTTTATTTTAGTGGGTTTCTTTACATGACGTTTATATATTTCTTGACGATCGTTTATGAGTTTTAGTTTTTCTAACCAAATTTTCTTGACATCGGTATTATTATTGCTCTTCAAAGTTATGCCGGTGGTTTATATTTACTATTTAGATCGAAATCTTACAAATGAGAACACATATCTACACAGAGAAAGGAATTTGGAATTTAAGTATAAAGAATACGACCACAGATTAATTTAAAAACTTTAAGAAAAAGTCGATCAAAGCACACAGAAAAAGCTGGAATGGCGGCGGAGATACGTGGTGGGTTTAGGATTAGCGACGATCCATTTGATTATTTGCTTTAAATTTCGTTTAAATAATTACTATAGTCAGCTATATGCCTATATCACTTGCTGAATTTATAATATTGAGCTCAATTTAGAATATTACATAACAATTATATGATCGTTTCATAATGATTCCACATGATCATCACTGTCATCACCTCGATATCCCTTTCCTTTTCGAAGTCTTTTTATCTTAATTTACAGTCATACTCAACTCGATTCAATAATGCATTCGTTATCTTTTACGCAACTCCACGAAATGTGCCTCGTGACAAAAACAATCTCAAATTATGAAACCAAACAGTACAAGAAAGATCCAAATATGAGCACATATTGAAATGCAATAAGTAACTATGTCCAAAGTATTATCGTTTAAGTATTATCGTTTAGGAAACATGTTTCCATCGGATCACATTACAGTTAAGTTCATGAGAATAACCATGACAGTTGATTTGTTTCTGGCGCAGAAAAATGAATTTCTACGAACCATATAGATATGGTTTTTCTTATTTAAAGAAACAGAACCTTAGTAGATATTGGTTAACTGAGAAGAAAATATTGGTAATAGATCTTGTTAATAAAACAGAAAAAGAGATAGGTGCGGTTCGGTCTGAAGAACAAAGCTAAGGGAGAGAATCTGCAACGTGACATAACGAGATAGTGGTCCTGCAAATTTCTCCTGAAACATAGGCCGTCGATTTTTTTAGACATGAGCCCACATAGAATAAAAGTGATTACCTTTCTGGCTTTTATTATATTTTATAAATACACTATTTTCTTAGCTAAATGCGAAGGTGCTTCCCAAATCTTTTACCTTACCGGTGGAATATCATCTTTCTGCGCTAATCATAATATAAGGAACGTGATCAGACGGCTTGCTTTTTCCACAATATTCTCTCACTTTCTTCTACTTTCTCATATTCTTTGGATTGGATTCGTATCTCTCGTTTCTCCTCTATCTCTTCATAGTTCTTCACTTCCAATCAATTGCTTACTATTTAAAAGTATAGTTTTAATCGAAGAGTATATTTATTAGATAATTTGAATGGCATATAGACATTTTTTTTCTCTCGTAAAGTTCGTATTCCTAAGCTATTTCATTTTCAACATTTTTTTTGACTAACTAATTTTCAACATTTTCTTATTGTATATTGTGTTGTTTTCTATTATTACGAATTATAATAAAGTAGTATTATCAATGCTGATTGCAAAGCATTTTCGGTATTTGATGATGTATCGACAATTTTAGGGACGAATATTTATGTTCAGACAAATCTTTTCAACGCTTTGCGTGTTTAATGCACAAAATATTCTAATTTTTAAAGTATATTCTATTTATTTCAAAATGATATATATTTTTGAATTTTCACATATTTAGTAAAACGTATTGAATTTTAATTATAAATGCATAAATTTGTAACTTTTATTTTCTATAATTTTGAGCCAATAAAAATTTCATAAGTACCTTTTTTAAGTTTACAGTTAAGTCATTCTTATTTGATATAAACTGAAAATATAAAAAAATGTATCTTCTTAAACAATTTTTGAAAAAAATGTAGTGAAACGAAAAGAGTATGGTATTATTCCTCATGTTTTATAAGGCTTTACTTCATTAAATTAGATATCTAACGAACTTTGTTATGTTGAAAACGTTAATGATATAAGTATTTATAAGCTAACACCAAATGAAGTTGCTGAATTTCAAATATAAAATAAAATTTTATATACGTCAATAAGAGATTATCTTAGAGAACAAGATAGATGATCGAATACAGAAACAAATAATTGACGGATATCATTTTGTTATATAGTTTAAATTAATATTACAAATATTTGTATGTCGAGCGACTGCCTGGAACATTACTTTGGAATATTCACGAGTTTAATTGAAATCTTGTTTATTGTCCGCATAAAAGAGTTGAAAACTGATTAAGCAATGACGAAATAGAGATAATCATAATCAAATGAGCATGATTAGTTGTAAACCTCCAGGGTATTTCCTTTTAATGCAATATAAAAAGTTAAAAATGCCAAAATTGTACATCACGCTACGTAGGTAATGCCGTTGCTAAAAGACATAAAATGTCTGCTGATGTAATGGACTTTGTGACCTCACTTACTTCTCAAATATATTATTAATTTTATTTTAATCATAATTAAATGACATAAAATTTTATTTCTTCCTTATTTTAAGGGTCAAGCAGCCTAATATATATAACATATAAATTAAATAACCTGCTCCAAAAACACGTATACATCAGTATAAGCAAGCATATTGTAGAACAAAATTTACTTGAATGCATGTATCTGGTTCGTATTGTATATCATCCCAATTAGGGAAACCGACATGTTGAAATTCAGGAGGTAGACGTATATATATGATTTATCTGCACTTTATTTATTTTTATCAATTTTAAAATATGGATTAAGTTATATTTTCAAACTGAAATCAAATCTAGCATGGATCTATCAGGTAAAGTTTTTTAGCTTCGACTGCCTTTAAGAAAATTTAGTTTATATTCTAGTATCACTTAACATAACAAAAAGTTTCCGAGAATTGTCGTGTATACATATATACTTATTTAGTTTATATATATATATATTTAAATCCTTACATACGTCAAATATACCCTTTTAAACGTGTACCTTAAATTACTCAGTTACCACTTACCAACTAAGAAAAAATGTCCCTGTATCCAAGGCTAGTATCATGGGTTGGTCTAAAATTACGGCCCACTCACAATCATAAGCTCATATGTGTAAGAATGAGGTAAGGTTATTTGGAGAAAATAAAACATTTCACAATCTCGTTACCTATCGATGCGGATGTGATCAGCCCATTCACAATCTTGGACACGGTTCGGTTCGCTAACTAATGAGAACATAAAACATTTCAGCCCACTAACTAAAGGACCTTATACAAGAAAGGAGACAGTAATGGCTGCGGAAGTTTCCAACGCAAAACGACACTTCATCCCATTAATTTTATATCGCAGTTTACTACTTGTATGTGGAAAAAAGAAGGCTTCAATTGCGTCACCCATGACATCAATTCATGCAGAGTTTCGCTTTAGCTGTGTAGTGACAATAGAAAAATACTTTAATATTGCAAACCTAATAGTATTTATTTTAATTATCCATTATTATAGGTAGGTCTCTTAAGGATGTTATAGGGTCAATCGCTTCTTTCTTTGGTTCAGGGGTCGACTTAGAGGTTAGTCCCTTAAAACTTATTATATTTGTATGATTGTATCCCATAATCTTGTCCTTTTTAGATCTTGTAGTGTTCTTATTTATACTATTGTTTAAAAGCAAAACATGGTGCAAAAACATACTATTGGTCAACTCAGAGGAGTGGCTTATGTATTTATGAAAATTATATTTTTTTGTTTCTCTATTATCATGTGTATGATTATAAGATTTGAAATGGAGAAAAGGTAGAAAAAGCTGTGTGATTAGCGGGTAAATATAAATAATTAACTCTATATTCCCTTGTATTGCACTTCATGTGATCTATTACCTATCATTCCAAAACTGGTTGTTATGATTAGCATCCCATTAAAAAGAGATAAGATCCCAAAAAAGCCTAGACCTAATTAGATATTAATTTCACCCACTCATCAACCAGACATGGAAGCAATTATTGACGCTATTTTGCAAATTCCATCGATCATAACCTTCAATTACCCTGATTTACTATATTAAGTTGATGATTAGGGGATTTGAAACTCTTTAATAAAAGAATCCATAAACAGTATTATAGCAACCATTTCTAAACTGAGAAATTCTAACTTCACTTCACAGTTGTCACCAACTACAAGCTGTGGATAATGTCGACGCATCATAGATATGAAAGATTATAATTATTATAAGTAAAAAATGATATTTTTCAAAATGAACGGCTGAGAGAAGACACAACTTTTCGCGGAGACACGGAGCCGCTCGCACCCATCATCTTGGAATATTGACTACTCCCCTCTAAGGTCACTTCATAGACGCTACAAAAACGCATACAAATTATATTAATTTTCTTAAACCCATTTCATTTCTCCAATTATTATTTTTATGTTTTAGATCACAGTAATCAGTTTAGTTTTTTTTAAATATATACTAATCAGTTTGGTTTTAAAAAATATATACTAATCAGTTTGGCTTTCTAAATATATATAATCATTTTTCTATTCCTTAATAAAAAAATATATACACTATATTGTGTAAGAAACTTCTACAGCTACGGCCTTCGTATTCCTTAATTATTGTCTCTTTGTTATTTATTATCCAAATAAATTGTGAATAAAATCCCAACTTGTGTTTTTATATTTACGCATTTTGTGTATAAATATATGGTCTTTTATCTTCAAAAACATGTACTCTTTCTTCTCTCTTTCTTTCCGTGCAAAATCTTCTTCTACTTTCCTCTGAGATTCTTCCAGACATCAGCAACAAGCCAATAAGAACAGAGAACCAAAAGCTTAACAATCATACAAAACTCAGCCAAATAAAATTATTCAGACAAAAATGAGTTGCAATGGTTGTCGTGTGCTCCGAAAAGGCTGCAGTGAGAACTGCATACTCCGACCATGTATTCAATGGATAGAAACCGCCGATGCTCAGGGCCACGCCACCGTATTCGTCGCTAAATTCTTTGGTCGCGCCGGTCTCATGTCTTTCATCTCCGCCGTGCCGGAATCTCAACGTCCCGGTAATTAATACTACTAAAAAATAGATCTCAACGTTTATAAACTTTTAGCCTTTTTTTTTTTTTAAAAAAAAAACGTTTATAAACTTTGGCCTTTTTTCTGAAAAAAATGTTTTTAAAATTTTTTTAATTATTAATGCTATTTTTAGGCATGTTCTTTAATTTCTAATTTTTTTTTTTTTTTTTTTTTGTGCAGCTTTGTTTCAGTCTTTGCTGTACGAAGCTTGTGGAAGAACAGTGAATCCAGTCAACGGAGCTATAGGTATGTTGTGGACGGGAAACTGGAAAATCTGCCAAGCGGCGGTTGAGACGGTGCTACGCGGCGGTTCTTTGAGACCTATCCCTGAGCTTCTCGCTCACGGCGGCGGTGGATTCGCTGGCTTTCCAACGGCTACATCTGAAGAACCATCTGAGATCTGCACAGAAATGTTGAATCTCCAGCAGAATGATGGTAACATGTATCATCATTCAAGATTCTCAAGTTCTAGAACAAGATCCAGAGTTGATTCTTCTTCACCGACAAAACGTAAAAGAGTAGCTTCTTCAGAGCTTGATCTATCGCTGATACCTAATTCACCTATTAAAACAATGCCTTCTTCCACACGGCAACGATCTGTAACACCTTCTATGAACTCTGAGGAATCAGTGACTACTACTATTACTACACCGACGTCGTTTTGGGATAATACTGCAAGTGGTGGTGACATGTTTGGGAACGGAGGAGGAGGAGGAGAGACAAGCAAGCTGCTTAACCTTTTTGTTTAAGTAAACTTTGTTTTTTTTTTCTCTGGTTTTAGTTTTAGGGTTCGAAAATGTATTTTTACTCATTTTCTTCACTATTTTCGTGGATAAAATTTTGGGACCGGCGAGTTATGACTACGCGGTTTTGTTCTCTCGGTTCAGAAGTTATTAACCATTGTTTAACTTTAATATTGAGAGTGGAAATTGAAGTTTTCGACCGTGTTAATTTAATTATCCCTACTTTTCACTAGTCCATGGTACAGTAACGTAAGTATCAATGAATTGTCTGGAGTCACAAAAGAAAAAAAAAAACTCGAAACATTTAATAAGTTAGTATGTTAACCATTGTTGTCTAATAGTTATTAACCATTGTTAAAGTTTAATATTGAGGATTATTGATGTTCAAGCAAACGAAATATTGAGGGTGGTATTTGAAATTATCGACCGTGTTAATTTATCTCTGTTTTTTTGCCCCATGATACGATAATATTAATATCAACGAATTGTCTGGAGTTATGATAGAATAAGCTCGAAACATTTACTATGGTTAAAGTAATTGATTCAACAGCTTGTCTAATATTTTTCATTTTCTACCAGTAAATAACTACTAACCGCATTGCTGCAGCATATATAGATATATGTGCTTATTAACATTTTTAGCATATAGAATATGAACGTATAAACTACAAAATAGAGAAAAACTCTCGACCAGTATATAGAGTGGGGCTCAGATCACATTAAATAAACTAAACGAGCGCAGAAAAAAAGATCGAAACAAATAAAATAGTTTTGCCGTACATATATCTCAATATTAAAATTATACAAATGGATATACAATATCTAAGCATATGGTTGGAGAGGAGGCACACATGACACAGAGAGAGCCCTTTTGTTTTGGAGGCGGCTTTTGGACGACGCAAAGAGCCATTTTCCACCTATGGAACCCTCTAAAACACACTCTCTTTGTTCTCTCTAATCTTCATATTATTTATTCAACTACGCTATCTTTTTCTATAGATCCCAACGGTGATAACTATAGTACGTGTAACATTTATCGTTTTATCATTCCATATAATACAAACAATTGCTAGTTCTACAAACCAATTATGCTCTACTCCTGAGATATTTACGGGTTTTAGGATAACGTTTTAAGACAGAACTGTCTGATAACAAAAATATTGTGACGTATGACGACCCACTAATATTCTTTGCCATCCATTCAGTGGTAATCAAAAAGGCCATGGACCCATCTCTCTTTTTCTGACTTCTATGACTGCTTTTACAATAATTTAATTGACGTTTTTTTTTCCAATCACGATTTCTCCACTGTCCATAAGTTTTTCGCATAATTCAAAATAAGTGAGAAAAACATTCGTATTTCTCAGCAAGCTCAACGAAGAAAAAGGCTTTCAACTTGTCCTTTTTTAATTTGTTTTTATATGAATTGTAGCCGTTAATAAATAAGATACATCTTGTTGTCTATTCGTCCCTGATCTCAGGGATTTATCTCCACCAAAATTGGGGACATCATCATCCAGCTTTTCAATCTGCTCCGCCCGTTCCGCTCATAATTATTAGCTCCACCAATTTTTGGCGATTAGTAAAATAAGATATATTCTCTGTTAGCCAATAAAATGTAAAGGGTTGTATCAGTTTTACGTGACTCATATCCAGAGATGATATCATCTGTACTCAAATTGAAGTCAAATTATTAAGAAACGGATAGAATGACTCGTGCTGGATGTAAAAAGCCGTAGTTGTAATGGACCTGGTAGGGCCACATATGTCCTTTTCCTTCACCTATGTCTCCAAGCCCACTTGCTGACCTAATTACACTTAGCTTTTATTCATTCCATTTCCATCAATAATTGATATATACGAAGATTCGTTTTATCAAAACTGTTGTTATCACTCATCACAACTTCACAATGAACAAAACTTTTCCTTCTCCTGGAATCCGTTCTCACAAATTATAAGAATGGCAGTATAACTCCGAAGTTAGCAAAACTAGCTAGACAATGATTTGGTTTGACTATGTGTGTGTGTGTTTATGTGAATTGTAGGTACTTTAAAAGATCTCTAATCGTATGACGTGAGATGATTTTATCATTTAAATTTTTGAAGACAAGCCATGTCACTCTAGTGTTGTTTAGGCAGAAATGAATAGGCAAGAGTAATTAGGGGTTTTTAATTAATAAGTGATGATCCTTCGCCGTGGGAGAGTCCAAGAGGCATATGCCCCTTCAACAATTTTATTGGTCGTACCCTTAAACTTTTTCCAACTCCTGCTCCTAATCCACGCACTTTGTATTTGTTTACGTCATCCACTACTGACTTTTTTAACCAGAAAAGATTAAACTAATATATACTAGTAAACTCGCTTGTTTATTGATTCCTTCCACACATGTCTGACTCATGTACGGAATTAACAATAGACGTATGTTAAGGTTTATAATTCCATTGACTTCAGAGTGTGAGTTTTTGTCGTAATTTACTGATTATATTTCAGGTAGTTAAATTTTTTTTTAAAACCGAGGTTGCTAATATTTAACACAACAAAAATATACATGATCAAATGAGTTGAATAAACTAGTAAGTAAAAAGTTAAAATAATTGGATAAGGATGGCAGAATATCAATCAACATTTGTTGTATTGGTAATTTGGTATTACACTCTGTATTGTAGTAAAGTCACTTATGTTCTGTGTATCAAAACGTCGTTGGTGAAGGTATAAAATAAGCATTGAAAAATAGAATGCAAGAGGATCGAGAAAGTTCGGTTTAGGGTTATTTGGTAAATTACGCGAGAAGAGTCGTATAGAATCTGAGGACTTGGGACCAACAAAGATTTAGGAGCGATGGAGACAATGACGGGACGGTGGTAGACACGTGAAAGTCACGTGACTGTCTCCCGCATCACCGGAACTTACCCTACAAAGGGATTGACAACTTTGACTATAATCTTAGTAACGTGTGTAACTTATTAACTACACATACACGTAAGTATAGAAACAATTTTAAAAAGCAGACCGAATAATTGGTATACATGAACAATAAGGCCTCGACCAAAGTATACTATCTCTCTCTCTAATTTTGGTGGGGAAGCAACTTCCTCCTGTTAGTTATCCGTTTTGGTAAGGGCACACTGTATTCATTTTTCTAGTGGGTGTTAGTGAAGCCCAGTACTTTTAGGCCCCTTAATCTTAATTTACATTTAACTGCTTTGTTATAAGCCTAATATATTTCTGGCCCATTGAGCTATGTTTTGATCTTTTTCTTTCCAGAAGAATGCGCCCACTGACACAATCAATAACATTGGAAGGACATTGTTTTTCTTAATACTTTGAATAGTTGCATTCTATGCGAGTCATACGACGGACTAATATTTCTACTTGTGGAACTTTTTTGTTTTCATCAATCATATAATTTCGGACAGTGACGTGAAGTTGCGTAAGTTTTGTTCCTTTTATATGGATTAGACTGGCCATAAAATGGTATGAATCGTATTTCTACCAAAAAAAACATTAATTCTTAACAAGACATGGTCAAGTCAGCCGGTAGATCGACTATAATAATACTACTTGCCATAAGACTCGGTGAACGAACCCAACTTTGTATATTTTCCACACGAATAAATAATGGCTTATCCTCTATTGTTATTCAAACTAAATGTGACCACTTAATTGATAATTAAACACATGAATCGTATAAGGAAAAGAGTACTGAATAATATAATGTTACAGCCAAAAGAAAGCAGCAGAGAACTTCTTTCAGCTTTGGTTCCTCATCGGAAATGACTTTAACGGGCCTTTTCTTTGATTTGTGTATTTAGGCCCATTAGCACTAAAGCATTAGACTAGGCAACTTTCAGCGGAGAAATAAAATAATCATAGGTGAGTGGGTCCATCTAAGGGAATCTAAAAGGCTCCTTGGCAACATGAAGCATGACATTTGACACTTGTGACATCTAAAGAAAGGATAAGATACTCTCAAGTCTCAAACGTGACGTGACCTTCGTGCATAGCAAATATCGCAACAATTCTTTCAAAGAATTTATTGAACTCTTGTATATAAAATAAAAAAATATATGAGCAGTTAAAAGATTTTTATTCAACCTTTTCTTGTTCATCTTATCACTCAAGGCGATAGATCATAGATCAAATCAATGACTAATAAACGTTTATTCAAGAGTTTGTGAAAGTGGCTTATACATAAATCAACTTTAATTGTTTCAAGAAAAAACTTGAAGTTGTAACTATTTGTTTCAGTAATAAGCAACGTTTATATAACCGAGATGTTTCCCACAGGCCATTAGTCTTCATAATTGCCATTAGTGACACGTAACTGATAAATCACTTGTTTAATCATCTTATTACTTTCTAATTCTATTTAATCAAGCTCGTGATTATGAAATAGGAAGCCCGAGGTTCAGAATTTCAGAAGGCCGTGATCCTTGATTTTCTCAACATGTCTCAAATCGATATTTCATTTCCGCAAATAAAGTAATACAATATTTCCTACGTTTCAAAGTATTTTTTCTTCAAAATATTAAATTTATTTATTTTATATGATATTTTATTTTTTATTGATTAAAATATAATTAAATTTATAGTAATGATATTTGTATTTAGAAAATATATAAAATTAAAAATTTTGTGCATAAATATAAAATAACAACTAAAATGAAAAAGATAGAATAATTACTAAACTACTATTCCCAAAACACCTTTAATAAACTAAATGAGTTTTAGTTTATTAACGGTTTCAATATAAATAATATATTTAAAATTTATACAAAAATAAATGTAATCTGATGTTTATTATCATTTGTATTCTTCAATATTATTTTATTGGTTGCATTAGTTGTATTTCTTGTTTTTTATACAAATGAAATATATATTGATTAAAGATTAATTTCAACCGGTTTTTTTTTTAAAATCAATTATTTTGAGAGAGAATAGAGAAAGAGTATTAAATTAAAAGAGAAACTTTTGCTTTATTCTTAGGGTTCAAATTTTACTTATCAAATCCCAACCTTCAAGAACAGTCTCTATGTTTCATGAGTTTTTTTATTTTCATGAGTTTACAGTTTTAGTCATGAAGATTCCTCTAATAAAAAAATATGATGTAGGTATACGTATGTACTAACAAAATACTGTGCACACACTTTTAATCAAATTTAAGGATGTTGTTAAAAAATATAGTATTTTTTTTTGTAAAAATAGATTAAGAGACAAACAATAATAAATTTATTC